GTCGTGGAGAGTGAAGTTGCCCAGAGACTCTTCACTCACCGTGTGATGGCATGCCAATCACATGGTGAGTCGTGGAGAGTGAAGTTGCCCAGAGACTCTTCACTCACCGTGTGATGGCATGCCAATCACATGGTGAGTCGTGGAGAGTGAAGTTGCCCAGAGACTCTTCACTCACCGTGTGATGGCATGCCAATCACATGGTGAGTCGTGGAGAGTGAAGTTGCCCAGAGACTCTTCACTCACCGTGTGATGGCATGCCAATCACATGGTGAGTCGTGGAGAGTGAAGTTGCCCAGAGACTCTTCACTCACCGTGTGATGGCATGCCAATCACATGGTGAGTCGTGGAGAGTGAAGTTGCCCAGAGACTCTTCACTCACCGTGTGATGGCATGCCAATCACATGGTGAGTCGTGGAGAGTGAAGTTGCCCAGAGACTCTTCACTCACCGTGTGATGGCATGCCAATCACATGGTGAGTCGTGGAGAGTGAAGTTGCCCAGAGACTCTTCACTCACCGTGTGATGGCATGCCAATCACATGGTGAGTCGTGGAGAGTGAAGTTGCCCAGAGACTCTTCACTCACCGTGTGATGGCATGCCAATCACATGGTGAGTCGTGGAGAGTGAAGTTGCCCAGAGACTCTTCACTCACCGTGTGATGGCATGCCAATCACATGGTGAGTCGTGGAGAGTGAAGTTGCCCAGAGACTCTTCACTCACCGTGTGATGGCATGCCAATCACATGGTGAGTCGTGGAGAGTGAAGTTGCCCAGAGACTCTTCACTCACCGTGTGATGGCATGCCAATCACATGGTGAGTCGTGGAGAGTGAAGTTGCCCAGAGACTCTTCACTCACCGTGTGATGGCATGCCAATCACATGGTGAGTCGTGGAGAGTGAAGTTGCCCAGAGACTCTTCACTCACCGTGTGATGGCATGCCAATCACATGGTGAGTCGTGGAGAGTGAAGTTGCCCAGAGACTCTTCACTCACCGTGTGATGGCATGCCAATCACATGGTGAGTCGTGGAGAGTGAAGTTGCCCAGAGACTCTTCACTCACCGTGTGATGGCATGCCAATCACATGGTGAGTCGTGGAGAGTGAAGTTGCCCAGAGACTCTTCACTCACCGTGTGATGGCATGCCAATCACATGGTGAGTCGTGGAGAGTGAAGTTGCCCAGAGACTCTTCACTCACCGTGTGATGGCATGCCAATCACATGGTGAGTCGTGGAGAGTGAAGTTGCCCAGAGACTCTTCACTCACCGTGTGATGGCATGCCAATCACATGGTGAGTCGTGGAGAGTGAAGTTGCCCAGAGACTCTTCACTCACCGTGTGATGGCATGCCAATCACATGGTGAGTCGTGGAGAGTGAAGTTGCCCAGAGACTCTTCACTCACCGTGTGATGGCATGCCAATCACATGGTGAGTCGTGGAGAGTGAAGTTGCCCAGAGACTCTTCACTCACCGTGTGATGGCATGCCAATCACATGGTGAGTCGTGGAGAGTGAAGTTGCCCAGAGACTCTTCACTCACCGTGTGATGGCATGCCAATCACATGGTGAGTCGTGGAGAGTGAAGTTGCCCAGAGACTCTTCACTCACCGTGTGATGGCATGCCAATCACATGGTGAGTCGTGGAGAGTGAAGTTGCCCAGAGACTCTTCACTCACCGTGTGATGGCATGCCAATCACATGGTGAGTCGTGGAGAGTGAAGTTGCCCAGAGACTCTTCACTCACCGTGTGATGGCATGCCAATCACATGGTGAGTCGTGGAGAGTGAAGTTGCCCAGAGACTCTTCACTCACCGTGTGATGGCATGCCAATCACATGGTGAGTCGTGGAGAGTGAAGTTGCCCAGAGACTCTTCACTCACCGTGTGATGGCATGCCAATCACATGGTGAGTCGTGGAGAGTGAAGTTGCCCAGAGACTCTTCACTCACCGTGTGATGGCATGCCAATCACATGGTGAGTCGTGGAGAGTGAAGTTGCCCAGAGACTCTTCACTCACCGTGTGATGGCATGCCAATCACATGGTGAGTCGTGGAGAGTGAAGTTGCCCAGAGACTCTTCACTCACCGTGTGATGGCATGCCAATCACATGGTGAGTCGTGGAGAGTGAAGTTGCCCAGAGACTCTTCACTCACCGTGTGATGGCATGCCAATCACATGGTGAGTCGTGGAGAGTGAAGTTGCCCAGAGACTCTTCACTCACCGTGTGATGGCATGCCAATCACATGGTGAGTCGTGGAGAGTGAAGTTGCCCAGAGACTCTTCACTCACCGTGTGATGGCATGCCAATCACATGGTGAGTCGTGGAGAGTGAAGTTGCCCAGAGACTCTTCACTCACCGTGTGATGGCATGCCAATCACATGGTGAGTCGTGGAGAGTGAAGTTGCCCAGAGACTCTTCACTCACCGTGTGATGGCATGCCAATCACATGGTGAGTCGTGGAGAGTGAAGTTGCCCAGAGACTCTTCACTCACCGTGTGATGGCATGCCAATCACATGGTGAGTCGTGGAGAGTGAAGTTGCCCAGAGACTCTTCACTCACCGTGTGATGGCATGCCAATCACATGGTGAGTCGTGGAGAGTGAAGTTGCCCAGAGACTCTTCACTCACCGTGTGATGGCATGCCAATCACATGGTGAGTCGTGGAGAGTGAAGTTGCCCAGAGACTCTTCACTCACCGTGTGATGGCATGCCAATCACATGGTGAGTCGTGGAGAGTGAAGTTGCCCAGAGACTCTTCACTCACCGTGTGATGGCATGCCAATCACATGGTGAGTCGTGGAGAGTGAAGTTGCCCAGAGACTCTTCACTCACCGTGTGATGGCATGCCAATCACATGGTGAGTCGTGGAGAGTGAAGTTGCCCAGAGACTCTTCACTCACCGTGTGATGGCATGCCAATCACATGGTGAGTCGTGGAGAGTGAAGTTGCCCAGAGACTCTTCACTCACCGTGTGATGGCATGCCAATCACATGGTGAGTCGTGGAGAGTGAAGTTGCCCAGAGACTCTTCACTCACCGTGTGATGGCATGCCAATCACATGGTGAGTCGTGGAGAGTGAAGTTGCCCAGAGACTCTTCACTCACCGTGTGATGGCATGCCAATCACATGGTGAGTCGTGGAGAGTGAAGTTGCCCAGAGACTCTTCACTCACCGTGTGATGGCATGCCAATCACATGGTGAGTCGTGGAGAGTGAAGTTGCCCAGAGACTCTTCACTCACCGTGTGATGGCATGCCAATCACATGGTGAGTCGTGGAGAGTGAAGTTGCCCAGAGACTCTTCACTCACCGTGTGATGGCATGCCAATCACATGGTGAGTCGTGGAGAGTGAAGTTGCCCAGAGACTCTTCACTCACCGTGTGATGGCATGCCAATCACATGGTGAGTCGTGGAGAGTGAAGTTGCCCAGAGACTCTTCACTCACCGTGTGATGGCATGCCAATCACATGGTGAGTCGTGGAGAGTGAAGTTGCCCAGAGACTCTTCACTCACCGTGTGATGGCATGCCAATCACATGGTGAGTCGTGGAGAGTGAAGTTGCCCAGAGACTCTTCACTCACCGTGTGATGGCATGCCAATCACATGGTGAGTCGTGGAGAGTGAAGTTGCCCAGAGACTCTTCACTCACCGTGTGATGGCATGCCAATCACATGGTGAGTCGTGGAGAGTGAAGTTGCCCAGAGACTCTTCACTCACCGTGTGATGGCATGCCAATCACATGGTGAGTCGTGGAGAGTGAAGTTGCCCAGAGACTCTTCACTCACCGTGTGATGGCATGCCAATCACATGGTGAGTCGTGGAGAGTGAAGTTGCCCAGAGACTCTTCACTCACCGTGTGATGGCATGCCAATCACATGGTGAGTCGTGGAGAGTGAAGTTGCCCAGAGACTCTTCACTCACCGTGTGATGGCATGCCAATCACATGGTGAGTCGTGGAGAGTGAAGTTGCCCAGAGACTCTTCACTCACCGTGTGATGGCATGCCAATCACATGGTGAGTCGTGGAGAGTGAAGTTGCCCAGAGACTCTTCACTCACCGTGTGATGGCATGCCAATCACATGGTGAGTCGTGGAGAGTGAAGTTGCCCAGAGACTCTTCACTCACCGTGTGATGGCATGCCAATCACATGGTGAGTCGTGGAGAGTGAAGTTGCCCAGAGACTCTTCACTCACCGTGTGATGGCATGCCAATCACATGGTGAGTCGTGGAGAGTGAAGTTGCCCAGAGACTCTTCACTCACCGTGTGATGGCATGCCAATCACATGGTGAGTCGTGGAGAGTGAAGTTGCCCAGAGACTCTTCACTCACCGTGTGATGGCATGCCAATCACATGGTGAGTCGTGGAGAGTGAAGTTGCCCAGAGACTCTTCACTCACCGTGTGATGGCATGCCAATCACATGGTGAGTCGTGGAGAGTGAAGTTGCCCAGAGACTCTTCACTCACCGTGTGATGGCATGCCAATCACATGGTGAGTCGTGGAGAGTGAAGTTGCCCAGAGACTCTTCACTCACCGTGTGATGGCATGCCAATCACATGGTGAGTCGTGGAGAGTGAAGTTGCCCAGAGACTCTTCACTCACCGTGTGATGGCATGCCAATCACATGGTGAGTCGTGGAGAGTGAAGTTGCCCAGAGACTCTTCACTCACCGTGTGATGGCATGCCAATCACATGGTGAGTCGTGGAGAGTGAAGTTGCCCAGAGACTCTTCACTCACCGTGTGATGGCATGCCGGTCACAGTCAGAGCGGCCAACATGCGAGCATCCACATACCCCTGCATCCTAACCATCGGCTAAATGACAACTCTTGCCCACCGAACTCTCCACGACTCACCATGTGATGGCATGCTAAGGGCAGCCAGAGCAGCCAACAAGCGGACATCCACATGACCCTCCCTGCCTATCACATTGAGTTAAGCCTGGCAGCATTATATGATTCTTAGTCGCTTTTGAGAATTCTCAAAAGTGGCAGCATTACATGATTCTTCACTCACCATGTGACGGCATGCCGATCGCAGCGAGAGCGGCTAGCAGCCGTGCATCCACATACCCCTCCCTGCCTATCGCCAGTGCTTCCGAACCTGCCACTGCCCCTGCTGCCATGCCTAGCAGCTGCCGATCCAAGTCGTGCTCGGCTGTGTAGTCCGCCTGCCGAGCCTCCGCGGCAGCTATTGCGGCGGTTACCGAAGCTGCGGCTGAGTCTCGGTCGAACGAACCAGTCAGCCACGGGTATCTCTCGATATAGTCCGATTCAGTATCACTATTACTTGCAACAACAGAATCAGCATCAGAATCTTCTACTGCTGCTGCTGCCCTTCCTCCTCCCCCTCCTCCTCCTCCCCCTCCCCCGTTCCTTCTTCCTCCTCTTCTAATAGTTTGCCTTCTTCTCTTATTGATCCTCCTGATGAGGCAGCAAGATATTTCGTCTCGTAGTAGTCAAGAAGCGCCTCTGCGTTTTCGAAAAGGACAAATCGGTCAAACGGGTTGTTGGGCGGCACAAAGCCGTACAGCAGCAGGAACTGGGCAGTGTCCATGGAGCCATAGCCCACGCTGATTGGCTGGCCAGGAGAGATGACGTCAGCAGCAAAGATGTTGATGTCAGCCGTGGAGGAGTGGATGGTGGGCTGACGTGGCAAAAACGGGAGGGGAGAAGAGAGGGGCGAGGAGAGAGGGGAGTGGAGAGAAGCGGGGAGAGAGAAAAGGAGGAGAGAAATGGAGGAGAGAAATGGAGGTCCAGGTTGGTTGACAGGAGGAGTGATAGGAGTGGGAAAGGCATGAGGAAGGGGAAGGAGGAAAAAGCAGTTCAGAATAGCTTAAAATACACACACCTCAACTCAGCTCCAGACGTCTGGCCTGCCAGACTGCTGTATTGTATAGTATACTCAAATTTGGGTTTGATCATTCACCTCTGGAGCTCGCTCACCCGCCCGAACCTGCCCGAACCTGCCCGAACATGCCTGTACCTGCCTGTACTTGTCCGCACCTATCAGTACCTGCCAGTCTGCCGTGTAGTAGAACTCGTGGTTGAAGAGATTCGGGAAAGGTTGCTCACCCTCCTGAACCTGTAAGCACCTGCATGTACCCAACCGCACCTGCCAGTCTGCCGTGTAGTAGAACTCATGGTTGAAGAGATCTAGCAGAGGCAGCAACATGTGCACCTCCTCCCCCTCCTCCCCCACCCCTCCCTCCCCATCCCCCTCCTCAGCTTCCTTCTCCGCCTCCTCCTCAACATATTGCCAAAATTCCTCCTCATTCTCCCCTTCCTCCTGCTCGCCGTTCCCTCCTCCCTCCCTCCTTCTCCTCCTCCCCTTTTTCCCCTTTTTCTTCAAACCAACGGCTGAGATCGGCACGGATCGCGACCACACAATCGCGACCGCCCATTTGAACTCATCCGTAGAAGCACCCGCAACACTCTCATCAGAACAAAGAGAAAACGCCTCCTCAACATACCTGATCGCCTCCTCTACTCTCTCTATCGCCTCCCCACTATCTAACTCCCCCAGCGTCGCCTCATCCCAGAAAACCGGCAGCGGCACATACCCCGGCAGGAGATTGATCCAAGGGGAATAAAAAGAGTCTTTACCCTTCCTCCACTCTCTTAACAGCCACGCGGCTACAGTCACATCGTCCCCAGCGTTCTTGTAAGGAGGGGGAGGGGGAGGGGAGGGGCGGTTGTGGGGGAAATCCCACCCCCCGTGGAGCCTGGAGAGCCAGAGGGGGAAGGGGATGGAGGCGAGGGGGGAGCCAGCGGGGGTGGTGGCGGAAGCTAGGATGCCCAGGGGGAGGCGCGGGGGAGCGGGGGGAAGGGGGGCGCGCAGGAGTAGAAGGCGGGGGAGGAAATGGCTAGGACCTGGTGCGGGGGTGGGGGGAGGGGGGAAGAGGGAGGGGGAGGCCCGGAGGGGTGGAAAAGGGTGAGGAAGGGGAAACGGAGGTTGAGGAAGGGAAGGGATACTGAATAATAATACAGGAGCAGGGTTGTTAAAAAGAGTACTTATAGGATGGTTTGATGCTAAGAGCATTGACAGAGTCTGACCTGGATCTTTGATCGTACACCCCCTTCCACTGATTGGCCCCCATGCTTCTCCATCCACGTCAGGAACGCGTCCACCAATCGCGCCTCCCTCTCTGGCAGCGGCAGCATCGCGGAACCTTCTCTCTCATACGCGAATAATCTGCTCAGATCGAAATCCGTATCTATGTCTGGTATCGAATCCCAGTCGGATCCCGAACCAAGATCCGATTCGATGTCGTAATCATTATCAATATCATCTTCTGTACTGAACTCCCCATCGTCATCCTCCAGGCCTTCGTCATTCTCAAGACCTCCCTCATCCCCATAATCACCCTCATTCTCATGATCCGCATCCTCCTCCCCATGATCATCCTGCTCCTGACCATCCTCATTGTCATTCTCGTTGGCAGAATCACCCCAAACTTCCATGTCACCGGCGTCATATTCCACGTCAGCGCCAACCACGTCATCATCTACGTCAAATTCGTTGTCATCCCAGCCCTCCATTTCAACGTCCTCGTCTAAAGGAGACTCGTTTTCATGCTCTTCAAACTCTCCATCCTCCTCAGATTCATGCTCCATTCCATCCTCAACAAACCCATCATCAATATCACTATCCACACTATCATCATTATCCTCGTTATTGTCCTGGTCATCATTTTCACCATGAACACCATCATCCTCATTATAATCACTCCCACCAGCATCCCCCTCACGATACCCAAACTGCTGATCCAAATCGTCGTCTGATTCATGGTTAGCATTACCTTCGTGGATAAAAAGCTCAAGACCACTACCGTCAGCACCAACGTCTTGTAATCTACTTCCTGGACCGCCTTTGTGCTCGAATTCACGTTCCCCGAGACGCGTTTGAGAAACATCTAGGTCGCTGCTCTCGCTACTCTTACTGCTGTCTCTGCTGTCTCTGCTGCCTCTGCTGGCGCTCCTGCTTTCGCTTAGCGCGGTTGGGGCTGTGACAGTTAAGACGATGGCGACCGTGAGGATGAGAGCTCGGATGCCACGGCGCATAAAGGTCGAGGCCGGATGTTCGTGGAACGACTCGGTCGCGCCGCGCGAAGGGCGATCACAACCCATCGAGGTGCGGCCGCGCAGCGAGCTCATCCGAAGACCCCGCAGCCAGTTCACGTCCTGAGACGCCTCTAATCTCTTCTGAGACGTTCCAGAGCTCACCCGAAGGCCCCGCGGCCACTTCACCTCTTGACTCAGAGGTATGGAAGACGTCTGGAAACTTACTTGCGACGTCTCAGCGCTCACCCAACGCCCGCGCGGCCAGCTCACGCCGCGATCGCGGCTAAGTGTGGATCGTGGCGTCACTGCTTTCGCGCACAGGCGGAGCAGTCGTATGACGCGTCGTACGACTAACTATGTGGCTACCTCTGACTACCACCGACGCGCTGCCATGTTGATCAGCTCAAAAGCGCGCGATCAAAAAGACTTTCTGGAAGACAATTAAGAGAACTGGAGAGCTTCGATTGGTCCAAATTCTCTGTCAGATCGCCAAAAAATTTGGACCATTTCTCGATTTGTGCGTGTCATCCTTGCGCAGGGGCCATGCTAATCTTCTCTGTATCGTTCCAATTTTAACGGATGTCCCGAAGGACGACTCCGAAAGTCAACCAGAAGTAATTTGTAAAACCAATGTTTGCATCGTAGTGTTTTGTGGGAAAAACTGAGACGAAAAGTGCTTCATTTTAGTTTCGCGAGAATGCCAATTTTTCAAAGGTTCATACGCGCCCAAACAGTAAATCACGGGCGAACGCGGCCTTGCTTCGGGCCTGTGCGAGGCGCATCCCGATCGCAGTGCCAGATGAGCCCGCACGCTTCAGGTATTTGGCAGCATACACTCATTATGTCTTTTCCGAAAAGCGTGAGCCACGTGTGCCTTGGGCCAAGCGCGCTGCTGTTTCGATCTTCCGGGCTGAACGCTTCGGACCTAAGGTAGAACTGTCGTCGTAGGGCCTAATCTCGGGTTTTTCTAACCGCCAGTTTCATCCTACCCGCGGTTTTTTTTCGCTCCTCGCGTTCCGCCATGGCTTTACAAATCTCCGAGAAAACTCGCGCCTTTCTTTCTCGCGTCGCCGTTGCATTTTCGTCCGGCGCGATCGGCGGGCTGTGCATCGGGCTAGCCGTGCCGCTGCTTGCGGCAGCGGGACTCATGGATGTTCTCGGTATCGCGATTCACCCGCAACTAACGCCGCCGTTCGTGTACCAGAAAGTCGTGTGGGGCGGCATCTGGTGCGTCGAGCGATCCCTCTTCCTCCGCCCCTCCTTTCCTCCTCTCCTCCTCCCCTCCTCTCCTCATCTCTTTCGCTCCTCCTATTCTTGAGCCGCCTCAAAAGTACACCTGCAGTTTACGCCGCCGTTCGTGTACCAGAAAGTCGTGTGGGGCGGCATCTGGTGCGTCGAGCGATCCCCTCCGTCCTCCGTTCCTCCTTGTTTTGAGTCACGTGAGAAGTGACGCACAACTAACGCCGCCGTTCGTGTACCAGAAAGTCGTGTGGGGTGGCATCTGGTGCGTCGAGACATCCCCCCCTCATCATCTCCTCCCCTTCTCCTCTACTCTGCTCCTTCTCTCCTCACGAGCTAGCACAGTGCATCGAGACATACTCCTTACCTCCCCTTGCTTTCCCCCCACACCCTTCCCCTCCGATCTTTCTCACTTTCTATCTTTCCACCCGTTCAATTCTCATCCACCCCTCCAGAAGCTCCGCTTTTCCTCCGCCGTCCCTGGGCTGTCCTGTCCCGGTCCCGTGCCTTTTGAGTCGACTCAAAAGTCGCCCCGTGCCCTCTCTCTTCTGTCTCTCTCTCTTCTGTCCCTTTCTCTCTCCCTTTCTCTCTCCCCGTGCCTTTCGCCAAGCTGTCCTGTCCCCGCCCCGTGCCCTCTCTCTTCTCTCTTCTCTCTCCTCTCTC